CATAGACTTTATAATTAGTATTATTGTACCTGGTGTAGCATTAACACTAGTGTTAGTAACAAGTGGAAAAGTTTTCTTCTCCTTCTCATCATCAGGACAGTTTCCATTGACAGTATTAATAATAACAATTATTATCATTAAACTGTACATCAGTTTACCAGCTAGCATCATCTTGATTTGGAGTCACTTTTAGTATCTATGCTTTTATAATATAGAAAAAGAGAAAGTGGTTTAACATTTTCCGGTAATTGCTTATGATTTTCTCCTTTTTATAATCTTAAGCAGTGGCTGCATGTATTTGTTTATGCTTTGGCAGTAATCACAAAGTGACTACTGAATTATAAAAATGTTTTTTTCTATCATAAAATAATATTATTTTAGAGTATATAAATACGTTCCTAACATTTCTCATTAAACAAACAGTAGAGTAGGCTATACGTGTATTTGTGTGTATGTAATTATGTTGTTAACTTGTTATGTGTTAGTGCTGGCAGATGAGATGAGTGAGGGAGGAAGTGTGGGGATATTTACTAAAGCACATTAGCACATGTGACTATAGTTCACTGTTTTTATTTATTTTACACATTCCTAACAACACTAATATAATGGACCCTTGCTATCATGCATGTACTGTATATCACTACATGTCAACATGTACTGTTTGTATAGTCTCGCACAACCAGACTCATCCCCTTTTTGACATGTTGGAAAGAGAGATAGGTCTGGTTATGCAAGACTATGCAAGTTTATTCACTTTTGTTATTTAATGGCTTAAAACTTTAGTATACTGAAAATTATATATGTTTATTACATTAAAATGTGTTTTTTCCCATTCATAGTTTAATTTTCTGTTAAATTTCAAAATTTTTGACATTTCATGAGCAATAAAACTAATGATTAATACAACTTATTATATTAACGAATAGTTACTGTATGATGTCATATTGAAAGCAATCAAGTCACAATGAGTAGCAATGCATGATAGCATCTGTACTCATTATACTAATATCAATAGTCAGTGTGTGTGTATACTACAGGTACCATTTCTTCATTGTTATTGCTTGTATTTTGTGACCTTAATATTTTTTATTCTTCGATTGATTTTTCCTAAAAGTAACAAAAATTTCTACAAGAATCACTACAAAATCTACCTATTATGTACAACTTTTGCTAGTAATGATTGTTTATATACTCATCACACAAGTCCAGTGATCCATTCCAATTGCCATTATTTAACTCTCGCGATAAATACGCATCCTTGTATATGGGAGAGGAGTACTTTGAGATGTATAGTCCAACCAAAATATTCCAGTCTCATTAGTTGCAGAGTATAGACCATTGAGATTAGAATCAGAGCAACTGTTGTACCACCAGGCACCATGATGAAGCATAGCACAATTATCAACATGTTTATCATTATCATTATCCATTGTACTGAACTTCATTCCATTGAGAGAGTGCCTACCAGCCATTGAATCACCAGCTGTTTTGGGATTACTATAAACATATACACCTGAGTATTGGAGATTTATTGTGTATTCAGTGGCACGATCACTCACACTGAATGAATTATAATACACAAGTTGACGTGCAAAATAAACATCTAGTTGGTGTGATCCTTCTTTCGTAAGACGATGAATCTTGCTCAATCCTAACCAAAACTCACCAGTAAGGTCACCAAATCCATTCTCATAGTCAATCCAACCCCTGTAGAAATCAACAGATCCATCTTGTCTCCTCTGAAACACAGTATATCCATCTTGACAATATACCTGTAAATGAACAATACCGGTAATTCAATTATAGCAGTACAGTATACAATAGTATACCTGGAAAGGTTCATCATCATCTGGTCTAACAGTATATACTCCACTGGTCTGAGCTCCCAAATCATACCATTCTTTACAATCACGTGCCATTGCACACACTATACATAAAAGAAAGAGCTTGACATAATATATGTCATACACAGTAAAATAATTAATGCTACTTTTTCAATGCTTTATCACGTACCTGGTGCATCATTCACTGAAGTGTTTGATGGTGAATAAAATTTCCTAGAAATGACATACGGAACTTCAGGAATAGGAGAAGGAGGAGGAGGGGGCTCATCATCAGGACAGTTTCCATTGACAGTATTAATAATAACAATTATTATCATTAAACTGTACATCAGTTTACCAGCTAACATCATCTCAGCATAGTATCTTTATTATATACTTATTAAGATAATGTGATAGGTTATCAATTGATGTTACTGTAGTGATATTTCTCTCCTTTTATAATAAAGTCACTGACACTAGCTCCGTGACTAGTGGACTATAAAGATTGAACAACATTTTGTTGACTTTTAGTAACTTTTACTGAACATCAACACATCTCTCTCGATCTTTAAATTTTAAACTAATTAAGACCACATTATGCTCTTGCAGAAAGAGAAAGTGTATGTGTGTAGCAAAACTTACTGGAATGTTTATTTTAAATTAATAACATTATCATTGCAGTCCTTACATTTCTATTGCTACTAATATTATGATATTAATCACTGATGAGGCTTAACATTATTAAGAAATACTGTATAGTGGGTAATTTTGGAGGGAGTAAAATTTGGTGAATTGCTAAATTTTGGTTATTGGTGGATTTTAATTTGGTGAATTTGTGGCCATGTACCATTGAGCATGCATATAATGGCT